CTGAACCACAGCTCATACTGTTTATTGAAGCTTCAGAGTGGTTTGATATACAAGTGGAATGCTGTACCTTATATTTAGAGGACTGTCACGCAAGGGATTAGAACCATTCTGCAGCTGTACGGGCCTTAATTAGACTACATTTGGAGTACTTTGAGCAGTTTTGGGCACCACACCATGACGAGGATATTATGACTTTGGAGAAAATGTTTACCAATTACACCTGGATCCAAAGGAATAAATCATGAGGGGAGATAACACAAATTAGGGTTATAGTTCCTGGAATTTAGAAGATTAAGGAGTGATTTAATTGACGTTTTCAAGATATTAATACGATTGAATAAGGGAGATGGAAACTATTTCCACTGGTTGTAGAGTTTAGGAATAGGGGCATAGTCTAAGTATTAGAACCAAAGCTTTCCACAAGGGAGGTAGGAAATACTTCTGCACATAATAAAAATGGTAGAAGTTTGGAACTTTTTTCCAGAAACATCAATGCTATATGACTCGCTAATTTAAAATCTGATATTGGTACATTTCTGTGAAACTAAGGCCCCATTCTGTCATAGAATGAGAAAGAGATTCCATGGCATCATTTCAAATAAGAATGAGATATGCTCCAAATGTTCTGACCAATACTGATCTGTTAACCTATACCTGAAAACAAATTAACTCGTCATTTTTAGAAATTGCCTTGCTGTGTGCAAATCAGTTGCTGTGTCTCCTACATTATAGCAGCAACTGCATTTCAAAAATATTTCTGTAAAGGGCTGCAAACCCTTTCTATAAAGCCCGTTGAGAAGTACTTTGAATGTTAAAGGGGCTACAGAAATGCTTATTTCACTTTCTCTAGTTGAGGTAAATATATGTGTAATCACTCAAGGATGTTTCTGTGCTTACCACACTCACTAGAGGGTGCTGTATCCCCATCATTTCAACTGTGTTTCACTGTGAACACTGAATAAAGACTCTGATTCAAGAAAAATATTAATACATATATTCAAAACTAAATTAATTTAAAAATATCTAATGTCTCCTATTTCTTCTCCCACAAACCTTCCTCCATCCCTCTCTGTGGAGGACTTGATGTTGTAGTTCTTTGGAAACCTCTATTGGTGTTGCTAAGTTTGTAACTTTTCTCCACCACGTTTAAGTATTTCTGTATCTTCAGCATAGAAGCTTAAGAGGCAATCTAATGTGGTAAATGATTAATAAATCATTTCATAGGATAGATAGAGAGCAACTATTTCCTTTGCTGGGACAGTCCAGAAAATGCAGACCACAAGATGTCCCAAAGTATTTTACAGCTAATTAAATATCTTTTTAATAGTCACTGATGTAATGTAGGAAACATGACCATCAATTTGCGCACAGAAATCTCCCACAAATATCAGATGACAAGAATATCTGTTTTAATGATGTTGATTGAGAGATAAATGATAGCCAGAATTCTCAGTTCCCAAAGAATATTTTAAAAGTTGAAATTGACTTTTAACGAAAAGTTAGCTTGTTGTACGCTTCTCATTGGTGAGTGATCCATCCCATCATGTGTGGGAAGCAAAATGGCCTCTGTCATTGCCTAACAGTGTCATTGCAAGGAGAGGTGTGATCACAGTTCTCCTAAACAGCAAGATAAATGTTGGAGATTTCAAAATCATGAGTTTTTGGCAGAGGAAATAGGGCGAGACTGCTTCCACTAGTACAAGGGTCAGTAAATAGAGGACATAGATTTAAGATTGTTGGGTAAAGAACCAGAGGTAACATGAGGAACTTTTTTTTATGCAGTGAGTTTTTATAGTCACAAGGCACTGTTTCAAAGAGTGTTGGATGCAAATTCACTATAACTTCCAAATTGAAATTGGTTAAATACTTGAAAATAATGGGACCGTGGGGAATTTGCAGGGGAGTGGGAGTAATCAGATAGCTTTTTCAAAGAAATGCACATGCACATTGGACCAGATGTCCTCCTCATGTTCTATTATTAGACCTTTATGATTCTAAATATTAGAATCTGATCTTTCTTGGCAGAGAGCTTATCAGCTTTTTCTCATTGCCTTTTTTATTGAGGTATTTTCTTTTATACTATTTCCTTTCGACCGTTCTTCTGTTTTATCCAATATTATGCAATGTGATATCTTCACAGAAGGATCAACAATGTGCCTAATGATACCATTAGGACACTGGGGAATTGCAGGTTCCATAAATTTACATCCTGATAATGATTACCTTGATGATGTAGTTCCTTATTTTTGTGGTCTGCAATTAAATGTAATAAGCAAAAACTCATTAAAAAAGCAATGTGACTTTAAATGGCAAAGAGACTGGAATATGTGGCTAACAGAGGAGCTTCAGGCAGCATCAATTTTCATGTCTGTTTCACTACAGGGATCATCAGTCCGACTTTCGCAGTTCCCCTTCAGATTGGCACAATGCAGCACAGGGTACAACAGATGAGCCACCCCAGCAAAGACAGCCAGTCATATTGCAGAGGATGCGAATTAGAAGATATTCAGAAACACATCAAGTAGGTGATGGACAGCCCAGACCCTTTACATCCTCTCCTCTGCTCACAGGAGACTGTATATTATATCTGGATGAGCAATATGAGACAGGAGTGGCCATAGTATCCCCTCAAGTTTTGCTGTTTGGTAAAAGTTTAGGAATAGATATTTTGCTCCCCACAGCTCCAACACAATAGGGACTAAATCCTGGACATGCAAACATTTCATCTAATCTCCTGTGAATTTTTAAAAAAGGAACTACTTTCTTATACTGTCTCCTTATACCTTTATTCTCTTAGTGCCCACTCTTGATCTAAGTCTTGAACTTATTCATTGACTGAGAATTGACAGCTCTCTGGAGCAGAGAATTCCAATGGTTGACAACCTTCTGATTGAGGAGGTTCCTTCCCACCTCAGTCCCAAATGGCTGATCCCTCATCCCGAATCTGTGACTCCTTGGGAAAGAACCACTCAAGGCTGGGATTGAACAATTTAATTTTGAGATAATATGGTAAAATAAGACTCAGTGAGTCACTTAGAGTGGGAGTAACCATGTGTTTTGGATACAAAGTCAGAAATTGCTGGAAAAACTCAGGAGGTCTGGCAGCATCTGCAGAGAGAAAGTAGAGTTAACGTTTCGTCCAGTGACCCTTCTTCAGAACTGATGGCAGCTAGGAAAGGTTGGTATATATTTGATTTGATTTATTTATTGTCACGTGTATTTCGTTACAAAATACAGTGAAAAGTGTTTGTATAGTGTCGCCACTCTCCGGCGCCATCTTAAGACACATAAAAATAAGCCAAAACATAGAATATCATGGCAGAAAAATAAAGAAATAAACTTCAACTTTACAGTCCTTCATGTTAAGTGCTCAGCCATGGGCTTGTGGTAGCCAGCCATGGGCTTGTGGTAGCCAGCCACGAGTCCCCTTGTTGCGCTGCAGGAACAAGAGTCACCACGTTCTACCGCTATCTTGCCTCCACCAACACTGAAGCCACCATGAGTCCTCACTAGACCTCGCTAATGCAGCTACCACCAATGCCACCAGGTCCCGCACTGGCCCAAATTCGACTGTACTCCAAATGTTTGCTGTAGGCCCACCTCCCCAACCCAGCTGCCGCCGATGCCGCTAAGTCTTGTACTGGGCCTGTGAGTTTGTGCTGGACGCAGGTGCCATGGAGAACCCAAACTCATCCCTGATGCCTCCGCCACGAGTCTGTGTTGGGCTCACCTCACCAATGCCATTACTGCGACCGAGCTCTTCTCAAGAGGTAAGTAAAAAGAAAGGAAAAAATGAGAAAAAAGAAAGAAAAGAAAAGTGGATGGAACAGACAAGCCCTGGGCTTAGGAGCCCTAGTCCGTCGCCATCTTGGACTTTAACTATATATGCTCGAAGAGGTAAGGAGGATGGTGAAAGAATAAACGGCAGGTAGAGATGGAGCCCACATGGAGAGAAAACCAGTTGGGCCTAGGAGAATGAATAGCTAATAATGTGGATTGTTGGTGGCTGATAATGGGTTGTTAGTGGTAGCAGTCCATGTTATGACAAGGCCTGGTGTGTGAGGGTTAGGGTAAGGAGATGGGAAAAGGTGCTCAGGCACTAAAATTATTGAACTCAATAATGAGGCCACAAGGTTGTAGAGTTCCCAACTGGAAAATGAGGAGTTGTTCTTCCAACATGCACTGAGCTTCACTGGAGCACTGCAGCAAGCATGAGACAGAGATGTTGGCCAGGGAACACTGCGGCATGTTGAAGTGACAGGCAACAGGAAGCTCAGGGCCATTTCTACAGACAGAGCATAGGTGTTCTGCAGAACAGTCACCTCGTCTGTGCCTCATCTCCCCCATGTAGAGGAGACTGTATTGATAGCAGTGAATACAGTAGAGTAGATTGAGTGAAGTGCAGGTAAATCACTGCTTCACCTGGAAGGTGTGTCTTGGGCCTTCAAGCACTTCATTTAATCTAGTCTACTGTATTTGCTGCTCACAATGTGGTCTCCTCTATATTGGGAAGATGAGGCGCAGACTAGGCAACCGCTCTGCAAAACACCTGTGCTCTATCTGCAAAAATGACCCAGAGCTTCCATCTGCCTGCTGTTTCAACACACCCCTCTGTCTCAGGCTTGCTACAGTGTCCAGCAAAGTTCAGCTCAAGCTGGAAGAACAGCACCTGATTTTTATCCTTGGGAACTCTAAAAAAATTTTTGGACTTAATATTGAGTACGATAGGTTTAGGGTTTGAGTACCTTCTCCCATCTCCTTACCCCAAGCCCCACACACCAGGCCTTGTCATCATGGAGACTGCTACCACGAACAACCCATTGTTAGCCACCAACAATCCCCATTAGCAGCTGTCATTTTCTCAGGCTGACCTTTACCCATTCCTTTGTCTGCCCAACTAGTTTTCTTTCTGTCTGGACTCTATCTCCACCTATCATTTACTCTTTCCCCCTCCCCCACCCCATTTCTTTTCTAGCATATATACCAAACTTTTCCTAGCTACCATCAGTTCTGAAGAAGGGTCACTGGACCAAAATGTTAACTCTGTTTTCTCTCCACAGATGCTACCAGATCTGCTGAGTTTTCCCACCAATTTATGATTGTGTTTCTGATTTCTAGCATCTGTAGTTCTTTGATTTTTTTGTGTATTTTGGATGATTGTTCTCATTTTATGTTAATCCAGCTTTCCTTTTACTCTAAAGGGTAGGGTTGGAAATCGTGTATCAGCTGTTAAAGTAATAGAGGAAAAGTCCAAATGGAGACAGTCCTACAGGTTTTGGATTTTACCTGGCAAATGGGTGGAAATCCATTATGATCGCTTGGCTTTGCTGACTTTACTTGACAGGTATGTGGTTCTGTTCTTTCCTTTTACAGATACATAATTTGTTGCAACTTTGTGTTATTACACCCCATATAAAACAATAACACTGCAGATGTTATTTTCCTCATGTGGGTATTGTTTAATGAAGTATGAATGCTAAACATAAATGTGAAACTAGCTAATTATGGGTATATGCTCCTGCAACAAAATCACATGTTAATTTGTGGATGAGGGAGGCCATTCATCTGTCATGAAATCTGCCGTCCTTAGCTGGTATGGCTAGCCTGTGATTTCAAACCTACAGCAACATGGTTGACTCTTAACTGCTCTCTGAAATAGCCTAGCGACCACTCCGTTCCAGGGCAGTTAGAAACAAGCAATAAGTGCCAGTGATGTCCACATCCCATGAATGAATAATAAAAAGAAATGTCCAGAATGAGAGTAAAATTTCAGCATTGCCTCCTAAACGATTCTTTATATTTCTCTACTTTATTCCGAGGATGAATAATGGAATACATTATTGTGGTAATAAATTTCTGATATGTGTCTTGAACTTATTGTTTAGTCTTCTGATCTTTTGTCTCATTTAGAATTGAAGTTAATTTAAAATAAGTTTCCCGATTAACTTTTCCATGCTGTGGCAGACTCATGGAAGTTAAGTGAAGTAAACAAGAAGAAAACTCCCAACGAGAGGGAACATGAATCATGTGATTGTTTCGTGACCTAGTGTCATGAAATCCATGAGAGGCATTGCTTATCTAAACCTGATGATTGTAAATGGTAAACATTGTGGGAGTCAAGGCACAGCTTGTAGAGTTGAATGACTTACCTTGATCTGGAATTCAGTAAAACCAAACGTAAGAGTTAGGTTTCCTGTAAATTTCAGTTAGATCACCTTGCTGATATTTTCTTTGAAGATTCAATTTTCTGCAGTCTTTTTCTGTTTATCATCTCCATCCTTCACGCAGTACCCCCAACTGACATCATCCCCACGCAGTCATTTGCCCAACCCTCCCCCTCTGACACCCCACTGAGTTATCCACTCAATTCCCTTACTCAGTACTGCCCACTCAGTAGGCAACCCCTCCCCTGCAACATAATTACTATAACAACTTCCTGTTGTTTTCTGTCTCTCAGCCAATTTTATTTTTCTTAACTCTGAAATCCTGCATGAGCAGCATTATATATTTAAAGGTGTTCCGTTTGTTCTCTCTTGAAATGTTGTTGAAGACTAATCTGCCATGGGCAATTTTTTGAGCTTGTTCATTTCATTTCTTTTTAAATTAAACCCATTTAAAATAACAGAATCACAGAACCACTGAATTGTTACTGAGCAGTAGGAAGTTTGGCCCATCATGTTTGCACTGGCTCATTGAATGAGTATTATGACTCAATGTCTTTATCCATAATCCTGAATAATGTACCTATTTAAATAATCATCTAACGCCCTCTTGAATGCCTCAATTGAACCAGCCACCACTACACTCCCAGGCAGTGCATTCCAGACCCAAATCACTTGCTATGTGAAAGCATTTTTTCTTCTATCACATTTGCTTCTTTAGCACATTACCTCATATCTGCACCGACCTGTTCTTGATTCTTTCACGTGAGAGAATAGTTTCTCCCTGTCTACTCTATCCAGTCCCCCTTTTTCTCTTAGCCAGTCTTTCTCCAAGGAAAACAGTCCAAACTTTCTGGAATGTAACTTCATACCTCAAGTTTCTCATCCATGGAACTATTTACATAAGCCATCCTCTCCATTGTTTTCAGACTTCCTAAAGTATGGCACCCAGAACAGTAAGTTTAGTATAACCTCTGCTCCGATACTCTGTGCCCTTTTTAATAAAGCCTAGGATGCTGTTCATTTTATCAAACTGCTCGCCCTACCTGCCCCACCACCTTTAGTGACTTATGTATAAATACACCCAGGTTCTTTTGTTCCTGCATACCCTTTACAGTAGTGCCCTTTATTTTATACTGTATCTCAAATGTTCTTTCTTGCAAAACGTATCACCTCAGACTTTTCCAGATTGAACTTTATCTGCCATTTTTCTGCCCACCCCATTAACTTGTCAATGTCTTGTAGTTTTAAGATGAACACCTCACTATTTATAATGCTTGCATGTTTTGTATAGTCTTCAAACTCGGAAATGTATCCTTGCACACCAAGGTCTAGGTCATTACTATATCATTTTATATACTTGACTGCTGTATCTTTGGCATCATTAAATTCCAGACTAAATTGTTCAGTGATCATTGCCTCCTGGTCTGCTTTGACTCCCATATCCTGTGTGTGGTCTGGGTCATTTACAATTATCAAATTAAATGAGCAATGCCTTTTGCAAATTTTGCGGTGCACTGAGCCATGAAGCAATCACACAGTCCATGTAGCAATTCCACCGGGAACATTCTCTGTGGCTCTCTCGATCTTCCATAATTAAGTTTAATGCGCATAAGTGTGAGATGTTGCGTTTTGGTAAGACTTGCACAGTTAATGATAGGGCCCCAGAGAGTGTTGTCGAACAGAGATCTAGGGGTGCAAGTGCATAGTTCCTTGAAAGTGGCATCACAGCTGGACAGGAATAGTGAAGAAGGTGTTTGGCACACTTGTATTCATTAGTCAGAGCATTGAGTACATGAGTTGGGACATTATTTTACAGCTGTACAAGACATTTGTAAGGCCACATTTGGAGTACTGTGTACAATTCTGGTCACCCTGCTATAGGAAGGATATTATTAAACCGGAGAGGGTGCAGAAAAGATTTACAAGGATGTTACCGTGACTGGAAGGTTTGAGTTATAAGGAGAGACCTAATAGGCTGGGGCTTTCTTCCCTAGAGTATCGGAGGCTGAGGGGTTACCTTGTAGAGGTTTATAAAATCATGAGGGGCATAGATAAGGTGAATAGCCATGGTCTTTTCCCAGGGTAGGGGAGTTCAAAACTAGAGGGCATAGGTTTAAGGTGAGAGGGGAAAGATTTAAAAGGAACTTGGGGGGCAACTTTTTCACACACAGGTGAATTGGATTGTATTGAATTAGCTGTATTGTCACATGTACTCAAATGAGTGTGTGCGTTTATGGAACGAGCTGCCAGAGGAAGTGGTAAAGGCAGGTACATTTACAGCATTTAAAAGTCATCTGGACAGGCACATGGATAGGAAAGGTTTAGAAGGATATGTGTCAAATGCAGGCAAATGGGACTAGTTTAGTTTAGGATACCTGGTGGGCATTGAATGAGTTGGGCCAAAGGGCCTGTTTATGTGCTTTAGGACTCTATGACACTATAACTCCAGATGCTCTGTGCTAAATAGAATTTTATTTGGGCTTATAATGACTAATCAGGAGAATGACAGAGGATTTTCTTCCTGACTTACTCCAAACTGCCGTGTGATTTCCCAGTATATTTCAAGTAGACTGAAACTTATAACAATATAGGAACAGCATTCAAATTAACATTTACTATATTTTCACAGGAATCAGGAGATCGGAGAAAATGTATTGGCTGTTTGCTTGGCTGTTCTTGTTGCCCTTCTTGGATTCAGTCTCCTTAACCAAGGGTTTTTCAAGGACCTGTCGGTCCTGCACTTCTGTCTGGTTATTGCAAGCTGTCAGTATTCCCTGTTAAAAGTAAGTGTAAATGTGTTTTTGTTCTTAGGTTGAATGGTAATAATGTGTCATCATACTTGACTACTCTTTTTTTCTCCTGTTTCAGAGTCCTCAGCCTGACCCAGGATCACCTGTGCATGTGAGTTATGAACTCCAGACTTGAAGGGCAAATGTCTGAAATTATCTCAATGACTTGATCTGATTGAAGGCCATGTCATGTGATTTCCACACTTCCAGAATGACAATCTTACCACATTCTCACAACATCACCTAGCTTCTTGATGGCATCAGCCACCTATCCTGTTTCAGTAGGTCATTTTCCAGCTGATGTAATGGTCCTGCAGGTCTCTGTTAGATCGTGGCCATTTACCCAACACATGATGACTGAGGTAGACTTTCCAGATCTAGGGTGGGATTAACAGTTTAGGTTAGACATATTTTTACAGGCAACCTTACCAGATTATCTGCCTCCAACCAATTCAATCTCTTCCTCCTAATTTGGCATGTCTGTCTTCAGTGCCTCACCTCCAACACTACTGCCATTGTGCACCTGACATGTCCATCCTGTCCAGTTGTTTGGAAAGTGTATACAATTGTTTGATTTTTTATTAATGTCAGTAAAAACATCTGCTTTCCCATCATAAATAGTTTTATTGTCAATAGCCAATATGTTCACATTTTTGGTTTGAAAACTACATAACTTGTTTTAATCCCACATCTCCCTCTCCAACCTTTGATTTTTCCCTTGGTGTTTAGCATTCAGACATAATACACTTCAACTCCTGGAGACTGTAGTGCAATCATGGAGCATTGCCAACTCTCAATGGAGGTGATTGACAAGACTGCATTTTTTTCCCATCCCACATTACTGTTAGTGGTTCAGAGCCAACCATGTAGAACTGGAAGCCACATGTAGACTCTGATTGGATCTGGAGAACAGGTACCCTTCCTGAAGCACATTAATGAGTCAGGTGGATTTTTAACAATAGTCTGGGAAATTTGATCTGCTAGTAGCTCACAAATCATCAGATTTACAGAATTCAGTTTCAAAATGTGCTATGCTGGGGTTTGAACTCCCAATCTCTGAGTCAGTGCCATGAATAATTGTCAAATTTTCCTTCTTCTCATGCAGTCTTATGTAATCAGATTTACATTGAGTAACTGTTGTATTGTGATCATCTTAGGTAGCAATGTGAAACTAAAGAAAAGATGGCTAGTGCTCTGGTGGCACATAGGATGGCAGGATGTTTTACTGAAAATGTTTGCCACGTTGCTGATGCTAATGAGCTGCTTGCATTGTGTTGCAAACAGAAAGGAAAATAGAGAAAGAAACTTGTGCTAGAGTTTTATCGGGATATGAAAGAGCTTATGTTTTCAGAGTTAAGTGTGGTAATAATTAAACTATAATATAATTATCCCTAAAATGTGATATATGTAGAGGTAGATTTTTGTTTCCAATGAAGAAGAATAACAGGTTGGGGTGTGTAATCAGAAAGGATTGCATAACAGGTAGGCGTAAAGAAGGTGGAAATATAATAGACAGATTGTATAATAGGCAGGGATGTATAATCATATTCAACCGATTTATTGGAGTTCTTTAGGAAAGTAACGTGCTGTGTAAAAAGGGCAGCCAGTAAATGTACTCAGATTTTCAGAAGGCATTTGATCAGATGTCATATCAAAGGTCATGGCAGAAATGAAAACTTGTGGTGTAGAGGATAGCATATTGCCATGGACAGTAGATTTATACCTAACAGGATGCAGAGAGGAGACATAGATGTGTCCTTTTCTACTTGACAAGATGTAACAAGTGATGTGTCACAGGGATCGGTGTTGGGGCCTCAACTTTTTATAATTTATGTAAATGATTTGCATAAAGGGACCAAAGGTATGATAACCGAATTTGCCGGTGACACAAGGATAGGTAGGAAAGTCAATTGTGAAGAGAATATAGGTAGACTGAAAAAGGATTTGGATAGGTTAAATGAGTGGGCAAAAATGTAGCAAATGGAGTATGATGTGGAAAATGTGAAATTGTTCATTTTGGCAGGAAATTTTTTTTTAATGCACATAATTATCTATATTATGAGAGATAACAGAGCTCAAAGATGTTGAGGGATCTGAGTGTCCTAGTGTATTGGAAGCAATTCAGAGATCACGGTGGCTCAATGGTTAGCACTGCAGCTCCACACCGCCAAGGACCCAGGTTCAGTTCCACCCTCGGGTGACTGTCTGTGAGGAGTTTGCACATTCTCCCTGTGTAAGTTAGCTGAATTAGCCATGGAAAATGCAGGGTTACAGGGAAAAGGGTAGTGGAATGGGTCTGGGTGGGATGCCCTTCGGAGAGGCGGTGTGGACTTGTTGGGCCAGTTGGCCTGTTTCCACACTGTGGGGATTCTATGATTCCATCATTTACTAGCCTAATACCTGGAATGGATAGATTGTCTAATGAGGAAAGTTTGGACAAGGTAGGCTTGTATTGCTGGAGTGTGACAGAGGTGACTTGATTGAAACATAAAATCCAGAGGCATCTTGATAGATTGCATGTGGAAGGGATGTTGCCTGTTGTTGAAGAATCTAGAACGAGGAGGCGTTGTTTAAACATAAGCAGTCACTCATTTCTATGTTGTGTAGTGGACAGGTTTAAAACAAGGTTTTAATAACATGGGGAATATAACGTGCTGTTCTAAAAGGCGAATGTAAAATGGCAGTGTGTATAATGGACAGGGATGTATAATGAGTAGATGTGTAAAATAGTGGCATATAACAATTGGATTTATAACTGGCAGCACTGATCGGGATAACTGGTAAGCCAGAGTAATTAATGGGCGAGGGTGATGGAGCGGGTGTATATGGGACTGTATAATGGATGGGCTGAACAGTGGAAGTGCTTGTATTATGGCCAGGATGTATAAGGTTGGGAACTAAACTGGCAGGTGTGTAATGTGTGACCTGTATTGGACAGGTAAAAAACAGATGATCTGATTTTGGCAAAGTGAAAACCTGCTTCATAATTTTAAAAGGTATTTTTAAATGAAAGTTGTTTCAATCAAAAGCTGTTGTTGTCCAATTTGCAAGTTTCCTGATACCATCAACCTGATCAGATAATTGTCAGATCATATGCCACAGTGCAAAGTTTTCACTCTAACAGTTGGTGGAGGACAAAAGAGCCATAACAGAAGTTGGCCTAATGGCTTGCAATCAACAACTACTTGCATTTATATATTGCCTTTAACATACTAAACAGCCCCAAAATACTTCACAAGCATGTTATCAAAATTTGTTACTGAGACACATAAATGGATAATAGGATAAGTGACCAAAAGGTTTGTTCAAAACAGTAGGTTTTAAAGAGCATCTTAAAAATAAAGCAAGAGGTTGAGTGGCAGACGTGATTATGGAAGGAATTCCAGAGCTTAGTGCCTATGCAGTGAAAGTATGGCTACCAATGGTGGAGCGACTAAAATCAAGAATGTCCAAGAGACAAGATGAATTGGATGATTGCAGATATCTTGGAGGGCTACAACGTAAGAGAGTTAAGACCATGGAGCCGTTTGAAAACAAGGATGTATCGATGTTTTGCTATATTGAGAGTTCATGTAGGTCAGCAAGATGATGGTTGAGGGACACAACTAGGATATCAGCAGCTGAGGTTTGGATGTTAAACCTATTTTAATGTCACAGTGCAGAATGTTGTGCTGAGAACTGTTGACAGTAACTCAGTATATGCCTGAGTGCATTAGATAGAATAACATCTGCAATGGAAAGACTCCTTATAAATTCTGACCTTTTCCATGTAGCAGCATTGCTTGTCACAAAAGGCAATATATGTTCATTCAGAGAGACTATAGAATATATTAAGAATTGTCTCAACTTCAGTATTTACAATATTGCAATATTGTATTGGACAGAGACCTTTCTGTGAGCCACTGTAATCTTAGTAACATTGAGAGTTTGTGAGATTCCCGCACTTCCTAAGGCAGCTCACTTAAAAATGATCAGATCAAGTGTGATACTTTTGCCTCGTAGCAGGCATTCTTACTGTCACAACCTTTAAAGAGACCAATTTCAATAAAACCCTATTTAGTGAAACTTTTCAGCAATTGCTGACAGTCAGCAGATGTTGGATCCTAGGATAACATTACTGCAGTTTAATGTCTTATATTTAGTTGATGATCTACCTCTGATGTGTCAGCCATCGTCAGTGAGTAGCAGTCTTGCCTTTGAGTCAAAATACTGTGTGTGGGTTCAAGTCCCAATCTGCAAACTTGACCACAAAAATTTGGCTGACTGTGCAGTACTGAGGGAGTTCTGCACTGCTGGAAGTGTGTCTTTTGGATGAGACTATAAACCAAAGCCCTGTCTGTTCTCTAACGTCAATGTAAAATGTCCTATAGCAGTATTTTGAAGAAGCAGACAGACGTTCACCCTGCAACAAAACAGAAATTGTTGGAAAGGTCAGCAGTTCTGGCAGCATCTGTGAAGAAGAATCAAAGTTAATGTTTCCAGGTCCAGTGACTCTTCCTCAGAACTGATGATAGCCAGGACCTGAAACGTTAGCTCTGATTTCTCTTCACAGATGCTGCCAGACCTGCTGAGCTTTTCCAGCCAATTTCTGTCTTTGCAGATGCTATTCTTTCTGCAGAGACAATTCTTTCGGTTTTTATTTAGAAGTTCACCCTGGTGACCTGCTGGTTAATGTTTATCTCTCCATTAACGGCTTAAAAAACTGATTGTTGCAGTTGTCGGGATCTTGCTGTGCACAAGTTGGATACTGTGTTTCCTCAATTACCTCAGACACTGTAAACTCAAAGTATTTAATTGGGTTTAAAGAGCGTCCTGCATTTGTGAAAAGGACTGTTTTGTTCAGTGAGCATATTAAAAATTACAGAATCAAAGTGGTTTTGTTTTAATCGACCTGTTTAAAGATGTTATTACACACCTCCGGACCAGGTGGGCCTTGAACTCAGGCTTCCTGGCTCAGAGGTATGGACACTACCACTGTGCCGTAAGAGGCAAGATGGTAAGATGGAGTTAGATGGAGATGAGCTTTGATCTAATTGAATGGCAGAACGAGCTCAATGACCTCTTCCTATTAATGTGTACTAGGCTCAAGGTGTTGAATTGCTTCTCCTATTATGTATAATTGATTCGAGAAGTCGAATGGCCTTCTCTTGCTCCTGTGTGACATATTGATGAGCTTGAAGGGTATTCTCCTGTTCCTATGTAAGAGGGTAAATGTGCAGAATGGCCGTTTCCTGTTTAATAGGATTGAGGAACTTATTGGCATCTCCTTGTTCCTTTGTAATAGGATTGAGAGGTTTTTGACCTCCTCCTGTTCATGTGTGACAGTTTAGAGGAACTGAATAGCCTCCTGTTCAAGTTGAGAGTTTATTCGTGTCTGACTATTCAACTTTGAGAGGCTGAATGTCCTCTTTCAGTCTGGATGTTCCAAGATGCAGAGATGCCACAATATCTTAGTAAGTAAAAGGTTGAATTATAACAACTAAGCAGGTCCTGGTCTGGTCTCTGATCCAAACTGATCTTAGGTAGGGAGGTGTTGGGTGCAATACACAGGTCTCCTTGTACCTGATGACGTGGACAACTGCCAATTTTTTGACTGTACCTGTGTTTGGGGCAACAAAGCATTCCACTGTACAACTTAACACAACTACACAAATCAAAACGGAGAGACAAGATGAGCTGGGATTTTGACCTGGAGCAGAGAAGATTAAGGGAATCTCTCACAGAGATCTTCAAAATGTTGAGAGGTATTGACAAAGTAGATAGGTGGAAATTGTTTCAAGTGATATGTGGGTCAGTAAGCAAAGGGCATAGATTTAAAATAATTGACAAAGGAATTAGGGAGAGATGAGAATTTTTTTTTAATGTGGTGAATTGTTACAGCCTGGAATATATTTCCCAAAGGACTGCAGGAAACATTTGCAATAGTAACTTATAAAAAAGGAATTGGGTAAATTCTTGAAGTAGGGATCACTTCAGGACTATACAGAAGAATTGGGAATAGCTCCTGCAAGGAGCTAACGTAGGCCTAAGAAACTCTATCAAAACTGCTCAAACATTTTAAATGTCTTTGTTAAATTTTCCCTTCATGTTCTCTGCTTTTAGGTAAAAGAAACTGGCTTCTTCAGTCTCTCCATAAAACCATTCCTGGTATTGTTCTAATAATCCTTTCTTCATCCCCTCCACGGCTTTGACATTGTTAATGTGGAATGTTCAGAACTGAATATAATGTTTGTGTAATGAGTGCTTTACATAGGTTTAATGTAATTTACTTGTATCTGTACTCTATTTCTGTGTTAATAAAGTCCATGAGCATACATATGTTTATAACAGACTTTTTAACCCGTGTTTCTCCCAGGGTCACAACAGAATTGTCGCATACAGTAGATCTATTTATTTTTCAATCTGCTGTAGCATTGTGTGGGTTTTGGATCTCGGCAGTAAGTCCACTCAGCTTCCAACTTCTACTCTATATGGAATCAGATTAATATCTCCAGAAAATTTTGCTATTGCTAGAGATTTTATTATCGGTGAGTCAGTGCACGTAATTGTCAGTTAATCGTTAAATTGTCGTTGATATGCTTGCTGTGGTAATCAGAAGGTTCTGAAATCTGCTCACATTTTCATTCATTAAATGCATATAAATGTATTGCTTCAACTTGGGGGAGAAAAGAAAGACTTGCATTTATGTAATATATTTCCCTCCCTTAGTACATCCCAAAATGGTGTACAACTAATTACGTACTGTTATAAAGTGCAGGGACTAATATAATGTCAGAAACAAGGAAACCAGTCTGGGCACAGGAAGTTCCAATAAATTGACTGTATAATGACCAAATACTCTGTTAGTTGCAGGACAAATTAGCTCGGACACTAGAAAGAGCTCCTCTAAATTCTTTGAATAATGGTTGTGAGACTTCTTATTGGTGCCTAAGAGGTAGTCGGTTAATACCTGATTTGAAAGATGGTACTTCCAGCAGTGCAGCGCACCCTTATTACAGTATTACTGTAGCAGAGTCTTTATTTGGGCTCAAGTTTCTTGGAGCCATAATTGTCTAATTTAGAACAAAGGCACAGGAATCTAATCTGATTCAAATTGCTGAGCTCATAGATTTTTACAGCACAGAAGGAAGCCATTTATCCCATCATGTCCACAACAGTCAACAAAGATATGACTACACGAACCCCATTTTCCAGCTTTTGACCCATAGCCCTTGAGGCTATGGCAGCCTAAGTGAATATCTATTTAATAGAATGTACTCTCTAAAATGGCTGCAGAGTAGGACACCTGAGCCAGAGCTTATCTGTTCCATTCATTTCTTTCCTTTTTTTCTCTCTTTCTTCGCATTTTTGTTTTCATTTTATGTCCTGCCCTTGGATGGCTTCGGTGATGTCCAGAGTGAAAGCCAGCGTGGACTTCTGGCCTCGGGTGGCCTCTAGCCCCCGGCCTCTGGGTGGGCTCGGACCCCCGGCCTCACGTGAGCTTGAGTCCCAGCACTTCCATCTTTGAGGTGAAACCCAGCATGGTTTGAGTTGGAAGGACTGTTAGTCCAAACTCTTATTTCTATGTTTTTCTAATTTATTGCTAGACTTTATTTTTCTAATTTTTTTTCCCCTAAGAATTTGTATTTAAGAATCTGTACCTAGGAACCTTGGTATCTAAGATGGTGCCATAAGTGGTAACTTGTAAACTTTTCACTGTACTCGTGTCGGTACTTGTGACAGTAAGGTTAATTCTAATTCTAAGTACTGCTTATTGTTACAAGAGTTTCTGATTCAACAACCCTTTCGGGCCGTGAGCTCCAGATTCCTACCGCCCTCAGTGAAAAAAATTCTCAACTTAAATCTATGCCCCCTAGAATTGGCCCCACTACTAATGGAAAAAGTGCTTTTCTATCTGCTCTATTTATGCACATCATAATCTTCTGTGCCTCCATCAGGTCCTCTCTCAACCTTTGCTGTTCCAAATAAAACCCTAGTCTATCCAATAGGCCTTATTAGTCCTCATAGCTCTGACCCTTCACCCCAGATAGCATGCTGGTAAATCTCCTCTTCACCCTCTCTAGTGCAATCACATACTTCCTTAATGTAGTGACCAGAACTGCACAGCACTACAGTTGTGGCTAACCAGTGTTTTATACAATTCCGTGCTCTTATATTCAATGCCTGGACTAATAGGACAAGTGACCTACATGCCTTTTTAATCAGTTTTTCTACCTGCCTTGCTATCTTCGGGGATTTGTGGTTATGCACACCAAGGCCCCTCTGATCTTCAGTTCTACAGGGTCCTGCCATTCATAGTGTAATGCCTTGCCTTATTAATTCTCCCAAGTGCATTACCTCAGAATTTTCCAGATTGAATGCCATTTGCCAATTCTAGGCCCAGCTGACCAGTCTGTTGACATCATCTTGCAGTTTACGGCTATGTTCCTCACTATTTACCACTCTGCCAATTTTTGTGGATCCCTGAATCTCTCAATCATACGTTTCAGTGCAAATCATTAATGTACAGAAAGGACCCCAGCACTGAACCCTGCAGGAACCCACAGGATAAAGACTTCCAGTCACAGAAACATCCCTCAACTATCACCCTCTGCTTCAAGACTCTCAGTCAGTTTTGAATCCAGTTTGCAACTTGGCCTTGGATCCCATGAATTATCACTTCCTTAACCAGTCTGTCATGAGGGACATGCTAAAGTGCATGAACACCACATCAAATGAATTACCCGCATCAACACACCTGGCTCCCTTCTGAAAAATTGACCCAGTTTATTAAATGCAACCTTCCTTTAACAAATCCATGTTGACTATCCCTGATTAATCCCTGTCTCTCCAAATGTAGATATATTTCTGTCCAGAAGCATTCTCTATAATAACTTTTCCACCACTGAGATTAGATGTTGAGATTATTAAAATCCAGTACAGAGAGAATTGGGGGAAATGCCAAGATGCAACTGTAGATGTCTCAGACAATAATTCACCAGAAATTCCTAACGGGGAGAAATATGCTATTATTGGGAACTAGTGTCTGTCATTCTTTATTCATTGCTACGAGCTGTATGTATCATTGCTGCCAATTTTATAAACGTAATTTTGTTGCATTCATGATTATCTGTACCTTTAGGTAAGTGGAGAAGCTGATGTCATTTTGACTCTTCACATAAACTAGATCATATTTTTAAACAGTTCTGTGACATATCAGATTAAGAGTTTCATTTTTATTGTGACCTCAGTAATATTGCCATCTAATATAAGCAGAATCAGGACTCACAGAAATGTACGTGAAAGAATTTTTCTCAAAGACATCAAGAACTTTTCTTCCTTTTGCCAGAAGAGATATGAACTGACATCCTTTAGGGAAGTGTGAAAGAGATGTTTGTGTCTGGAGTCAACGGAAATTATGCACAGAAAATATAGTCAAACCAGATTAAGTATCTTGTCCAGAATTTTATTTTCATTTGTTCTGGGTAATTTTCAGAGGTTGCAGTGTGGATCTGCAAGCATTGTTACAAATATGTCGCCACATGCTCTTGGCGGCAATAAGTTTCAGATCACTGAAATTCTTCTTCCATTCATTCACAGGATGTATACATCACTGACTGAGCCAGCATTTATTACCCATCCCCAGTTGTTCTTGAGAAGGTGCTGGTGACCTGCCCTTTTGAACCTCTGCAGTCTATGCAGTGTAGGTACACCCCAACAGTGCAATTAGAGAGTGAGTTTGGCCCAGGATTTTGACTCCGAGACAGCAAAAGAATGATGACGTAGTTCCAAAACAGGATGGTGTGTGACCTCAGGGGGAACTTGCAAGTGGTGGTGTTCCCATGTGTCTGTTACCCTTGTCCATCTATGTGGTAGAAGTTGAAGTTTTGGAATGTGTTGTTCAAGAAGTCTTGTTGTGTTAAATTTTGTTTGAAAATAGTATACACTGTTGCTACTATGCATCAGTGGTGGAGGGAGTGAATGTTTAAGATGTTAGGTGGGTTGCCAATCAAGCGGGTTGTTTGTCCAGGATTGTCTGGAGCATCCTAGCTGTTTGTGAAGCTGCACCCATCCAGACAAGTGAGGAATATTCTGTCACGTTGCGATGTGTAGATTTTGAACAGTCGCTCAGGAGACAGGAGGTGAGTTATTTGCTATGGAATTCACAGCTTTCCACCTGCTCTTAAAGTCGCAGAATATATGTTACTGATTCATTCAGTTTCTGATCAATGGTAACCCTCAGAATGAGATAGTGGAGGATTCAGCAATGTTTATGTAGTTGATTGTCAGTGGATGATGGTTGGATTCTCTGCTGATGGGGTTAATCATTGCCTGACACTTGTGTGGCACAAATCAGCCCAAACTGAATATTGTCTGGATTTTGCTGCATTTGAACACAGGCTATTTCAGTACCCATTTGATTGCGCTGTTGACACTACCTTCCATTATTTTGCTGATGTTTGAGAGTAGATTGTTCTACTTTTGGTGCACAGGACATAGGTAAACAATTCTCCATGTTGCCAGGCAGATGGGAGTGATAAAGTGTAAAAGTATTCTTATCTGTAAAAAGTAAAGTTGCCAGAGGATCATAGGCTGTCTCATTAAAGAGTGAAGACCGATGGTGAGTTTAACCTGAGGGGCACTGTGTCTCAGGCGAGGGGTGAGTTTGAGAAGGCGGGACCTTCATGGTAACCTCAGCCAAAGCAATAGCTGTAGAGGCTACTGATGAGACACACCTAAGTACTGCATATTGTTTTGGTCTCCTTAATTTATGAACCTCATATTTGCATTGGAGGCAGTTCACAGCAGATGCACCAAGTTGATTCTTGGGTTGAAAGGTTTGTCTTATGATGAAAGATTGAGCAGGTTGGACCTATAGTCTTTGGAGTTTAGAAGAATGAAAGATGATCTTATTGAAACACATAAGATTCTGGAGTGGGCGGTGAATTGACACATCTGATTCTAAGAAGATGTTTCCTCTTGTGTGAATCTAGAACTAAGGGGCACCGTTTTACAATAAGGGGTCTTGCTTATAAGCTGTAGATGAGGATAAATTTCTTCTCTCAGAAGGTTGTTAATCATTGAAATTTACTGCCCTAGAGAGAGCGCTATCACTGAATATATTTAAGGCCAAGTCAGGCAGATTTTTAATTTGCAAAGCAGCCAAGTTATTTGGGGATAGGTATGGAAAGTGGAATTAAAGCACAGTCAGGTCAGCCATGATCATATTGAATGATGGAGCAAGCTTGAGGGACTAAAGAGCTGCTCATGCTCCAATTTTTTTAATGTCCCAGTAGTTCCTTGGTACTGCCCCTACAGTACTGCAGTACTTTCTCAGTATTGCCCCTCTGACAGTACATCATTCCTTTAGTATTTCATAGAACAGTGGAGCAAAATTTGTTGAAACTCCCTGTGCTCTCTGTTCATGATGCCTTGTTGCATCCTCTATTATCCACACCGCATCCTCTATTCCTGCTGCCCTTGCTTTGTCCTCTATTCCTGTTGCTCCCACTGTGACATCTATTGCCATTATCCCTGCTGTGTCCTTTATCTGCATACTATCCCAGAAAACAGCTATTGCTTGGACGGATTGGAGACAAATTCTTGATGCTTATTCCCAGTTTCCCTACATCCTAATAGCACAGCTTAAGTTCTCAGCTCTTAACTGTAGAGGGGATGATCTCACCTGACTGCAATTTGTTTTACCTATCTGTCTTCCCCTAAAGGCTTTACAAATCATGCATTAATTTCTCTCTCTGAACAAACGATAATAATTTCTTTTAGTTATACACTGTTGCACATACCCATGGCAACCATCGTGTGATTGATATAAAATGACAAGGCTGATATTCTAGAAGAAAGGAGTGTCCTGGGGCTTTTAACACATGCTAAGCAACAATAATGTTGTGACATATCCTTAGTGAGTGTTCCAGAAATAGCTGGAAGATTTCAAATAAACATGTTGGTATTTTGTCAGTTGGATCAATAAATTAAAATGACAAATATTGTATTTAACTGTATTGTCCGGTATGGTACTGGCCCAAACAGTCCAGAAAGGCCTTTGCTTCAATCCTGTGCTGGGGCTAAGTAAATTGATCTCAGCTGAGAAAGGAGATGCTTGAATTGTGTGTGCTGGCTCTAAGCGTATAGAGAAGAGGCAGTGACAGACCCTTTTCCCGATTACAGTGCAATGAACACTGCTGAAAAATATGCTGAGGAAGATTACATAGGAACTTTCAAAAACCATTTGACATGTACAGGTAGAGTTCTAATTTGCGAGCTTTGGGGGGGAAAAGAATCTGAAGTTCAGGATATAATTTGACAGCTCTTTCAAAGGGTCAGTGCAGGCACCACATCTCATACGATACATGTTTAAGTGGCCACTTTCTGTGTTGTAAGGTTCAATGATTCAGTTTCTGCTCCCTTACTTTGATTACTATTTCTGTTCACATCATTGTGTGTTATTCCTGTCGCCCTTACTGTTTCTCTACCTTCTATTACAGCGTTCACACAGTGTTTCCCTGTCATTTTCCTACTGGGTCTTCTTCCACAAATAAATACTTTTCTGACATACTTGCTGGAACAAATAGACATGCACATCTTTGGTGGATCTGGTATGTATCACATAAGATAGCAGGAACTGCAGATGCTGGAGAATCTGAGATAACAAGGTGTAGAGCTGGATGAACACAGCAGGCCAAGCAGCATCAGAGGAGCAGGAAGGCTGACGTTTCAGGCCTAGACCCTTCTTCAGAAATTCTTCATTTCTTCACCTTGTTATCTCTGTATCACACAAGTTTTATTTTTGCTGTCTAAATTTACAAAAGAAAACAAATGAAAAACTACTTGTATTCCACTCTAAAATGTATGTTCCCTGGATTGTATCTAATTTAGAGTACAAGTTTATAAGGAAAATACTACAAATGCTGGAAATTTGACATTAAAAGAAACACACAGAAAATGCTGGAGAACCTCAGCAGGTCTGGCAGCATCTGTGGAGAGAGAAAAACAGAATAAATGTGGTATGACTCTTCTTCAGGATAGACAGGGGTTCAGAAATGTGGTTTATATGCTGTTGACAGAAGGAGTGGAGGCGTGAGTGAAACAGATTATTAGGGTGTCCGGAGGAAAAGACAAATTGAGTGCTAATGGTGGTAAAGGAGGGGTAGAGATGTAAAGTAGGTGTGAATGAGAGGTGTGAAAGGGCCTGGGTTACTGGACCCCACCATAGAGTCATCACTTGATGTAAAGGGAAGTAAGCTGTCTCAAAAATTTAGCAAGATAAATTCTGTCTTATGTTGTAGGATTGCTGCAATCATTGCTACGTGGAAGTTGTAAGAGGAGTGCAGCCAAATGCCTGTTGTTCGATGTACTGTGCAGCAGTTCTGTGCTTTAGGCTTCACAACACAGACACCCACCACTTCACCATTTCTGGGAAAGACCAGAAAACAATTAAAATCTTGGCCAATTACATTGAAAACATACTGAAAAAAAATCTCACTGAGCCCTTTAAAGAATGAAAACTAGTCCTAGAGATTGTTTTGGCCCTGACTTACATAACCAGGTACCAACCTCATGTACAAGTGAGCTCAACTGCAGTCAGAACAGACCTGGTTCTTATTTGAATGAATCCATTGAATTGGTGTTGATTGCACATGCTGGCAGTGTGCTGCTATGCTTTGCGAAAAGAACAACTGCCTAACATACAACCCAAATCTACCTTTAATGTTATTATGACCATCAACTGTTACTTCCAAACATATTCAGTCACAATAAATGACCCACATAAACATTATCTACATCATTTACTACTTTATTGAAGTCTGTCAAATCAACTGCAAGCATACATCTTATAAAGTAAGAAGACAACTTAGTTATAGTAGGAACTGCAGATGCTGGAGAATCTGAGATAACAAGGTGTAGAGCTGGATGAACACAGCAGGCTAAGTTCTGAAGAAGGGTCTAGGCCCGAAACGTCAGCCTTCCTGCACCTCTGATGCTGCTTGGCCTGCTGTGTTCATCCAGCTCTACACCTTGTTATCTCAGACAACTTAGTTAGTTACTTTTGTTCTGCAAGCTTCGTGTAAGCTTCAGAGGTATGTTACATCTCAGCATCCTCTCATTGTGTTGAACTCTAGAGAACTGCTACTACTGTATTCTCATTTGCACCATTGTAAAGCAGTAACTAGTGCCTGTATCATTCTTTCTCAGCCTAATGCTCAGACAACCACCCCCTCCCTCCCCAACTGCTTTTTCTAATTGCAGTCAGAGCCGCTTCCAAACTGCAACGAGTCAGTATGGTAATGTATCATTTGATCAGGGTTGTTATTATCACTGGAACTAGTTCATATCTTTTTTCTTCATTATTAAGCCAGTAATAGAGTGGGCAGTGAGTGATTAGGGACTGCAAATTTCAGTCCAATTGTAAATCAATGTAAAGTTCCTTTTCTGTCATTAAATGGCAATCATTTCTATATTGGACATATGCTTTTTAACTGTGAACTTACTCCAGTATTGCTGTAAGGTTCTGAAAATAACAGAATTTTTATATTAAATAAATATCGCTAGGTAGGCCAGCATTTAATGCCTGTCCCTAATGACCCAGAACCACATTGCTATGGGATCTGGAGTCACATGTAGGCCAAACCGGATAAGGATGACAGTTTCCTTTCCTAAAGGACATAAATGAACTAGAAGTGTTTTTCCACCAACAATCAGCAACGGTTTCGCTGTCAAATTTTGACTCTTAATTCCAGATTTGTGTTGAATTCAAATTCAAATAACAGGAATTTGAATCTGGGTCCCCAGGACATTACCCGGGTCTCTAGATTGATATTCTAAAGCTTTACTACTGGACCATCATCTCCACAAATTCACAGCATAAAATCAAGTTATTCAGACCAGCAGGTGCACACTGGTGTTCCTGGTCCACAGGAGCCCCATCCTACCCTAGGAAACCGCTTTGGCGACCGCTTCGCAGAACATCTATATTCTGCTCGCAAAAATGACCCTGAACTACCTGTTGCCTGCCACTTTAACACACCACCCTGCTCCCTGGCCAACATCTCTGTCTCTGGCTTGCTGCATTGTTCCAGCGAAGCCCAACGCAAGCTGAAGGAACAACACCTCATTTTCCGCTTGGGGACCCTACAGCCCTCCGGACTGAATATTGAGTTCAATAATTTTAGGGCCTAAACTCTCCCATGTCCCAGCCCCCTACCCCACACACCAGGCCTTGTTACCACGTAGCCTGCCATCACACACCCCCTGTTGTTAGTCACTAACAGTCCCCATTACAACTATTCACCCTCCCAGCCTGATCATTAACAACTCCTTTGTCTGTCCAACGGTCATTCTCTCTCTTTGGGCTCTATCCTATCGTTGATTCCCTACCCCACCCACCTCCCTGTTTTCTGCATATAAACTGACGTTTTCTCAGCCACCATCAGTTCTGAGGAAGGGTCACTGGACCCGAAACGTTAACTCTGTTTTTTCCTTCATAGATGCTGCCAGACCTGCTGAGCTTCTCCAGCAATTTCGTTTTTGTTCCTAGCAATGTATCCATCTATTCCTGTGGCAGGTTCACTGGTGGATTTTGAATCCAGCAATTTGTTCAGGTCTTGGGACTCCCGTGGTGCAATAGTAGTGTCCCTAACTCGACCCAGAAGGTCCTGGCTCAAGTCTCCAAAGGTGTGTTGTGAAGTGTCCAAACAGGTTGATTAAAAATACTTATGCATCTATTCCTTTCTCACTCATGTACTTATCTAACTTCCTCTTAAGCTCATTTATGCTGTGCATCTCAATTATTTCTTGTGGTAGAAAATTCAAATAAAAGACTTTTCCCCTGAATTTTCCTTTGGATTTATCAATGACTATTTAAAATTTTGGTTTCCCTACACATCTTCTGAACGTTTACCCTATAAAACATTTCAGGATTTTAAAATTACTTTTTCAACTCACCCCACAGTTTTCTTTTTTCTAGAGAAGAGTCTTAGTCTGCTGAATCTGTTCTGATAGTTTTAAATTCCCAGTTCTAAAGTCATTCTTCTAAGTTTTTTTTTGTACTTTCTCAAATATTTCTATATCCTTTTGATAAAAAGAAGACCAGAATTGTGCACAGTATGCCAAGTGTGACCTAATAATGGTTCTCATATGAATTTAGCATTGGTCCTGTGCTTTCCAAATCTATCCCATTGGAAATATATTCCAGTGTTTTGATTTGTTTTTTTTTGTGGCCTTAACTTGCATTACTACTTCTAGTAAGTAGTGTACTAATACTTTCAGATCCTTCTGCTTCTCTGTCCTATTTAGACACCTATTATCCAAACAACTATGTGGTCTATTTATTCTTCCTGCTGAAATGAACTACCTCGCACTTTCTTTATTGCAATCAATTTGCTTTTTGCATGTCTATTTGGATTTACTTGTGCACCTCTTCCACAAGGACATGGGGAAATGTGGTCTTAGTTAACACAGTTAATGCTCCTCTAGAGGGAATGTGGGGACGCTTGTTGGCTGTGGAGAATTTTGTGACATTTAACAATAATATTACATCCATACTCGTGTTTTTCAGCTACAGCAGGGCTAATCTCATCGCTGTATGGCTTTTCCCGCAGTTTACTTGCTGTATCGCTGCTGTATGCATTATGTATTGGCACAATAAAGGTAAGCTCTTAATTGTATGTTTGAGCTAAGGCTAATATACCTAGGTTCCTCTGCTCCTAACCTACTTTAAAATTGTACCCTTTCTTTTGTGTTGTACTCTGCATTGTTTCCATTAAAATGAATCATTAAATTTTATCTGTCAAATTTCTGCCCAGTTGACCAACTTATTTATATCCTTTTGAAGTTTTGCGCTATCCCCCTCACAGTTCACAATACTTCAAGTTTTGTATCATCTGACAAAGTTGAAATTGTGCCTTTGTATATCAAGATCTAGGTCATTAATATGTCCCTGCTCAGAAACAGCAGGGATCCTAATATCAACTCCTTGGAACTCAGCTATTAGCCTTCCTCCAATCTGAAAAATATCCATTAATTACTACACACTGTTTCCTGTTATTCAGCCACTTTGATTCCATGCCTCTAATGTTCATTTTATTAATGAGCTCTAACTTCGCTCACCCATATGTTGTGTGGCACTGTGGCAAATTCCTTTTTAGGATTACATAACTGCATAAAGAGCATAACACTTATCAACCTTCTCTGTTACCTTTATAAAAACTCCAGAACAGGGTGAAATAAGTCTTGGGTTAGAGTGGGAAATGAGTTAGAATATTGACAACCAGTTTTACATCTTTCTTTTTCCCAATGAATCATAGAATCCCTACAGTGTGGCAACAGGCTTTTTGGCCCATACTGCCCCTCCAAAGCCCATCCCACCCACCCAGCCTTGTAACCCTGCATGTCTCGTGGCCAATCAAGCTAACCTGCATATCTTTAGACTGTGGGAGGAAACTGCAGCATCTGGAGGAAACCCATGCAGACACAGGGAGAATGTGTAAACTCCACATAGACAGTCGCCCGAGGCTGGAATTGAACCCAGGTCCCTGGCGCTGTGAGGCAGCAGTGCTAACCAGTGAGCCCAAAAGCAAGGCACAGGCAGGGCTGGAATGAAGTCAAATATATCGTATAAATTTATGTACGCGTGCGTGTGCGTGCGCGTGCACGTGCACGAGAGTGTGTGTGTGTGCGCGCGCGCGCGCATGTGTATAAGTGTTGTGTGAGAGTGTATTGTGTGGTGGGGTCACCTGTATTGCAACATAAACCCAAGATCTCGGTTGAGGCTGTCCTCATGGGTACCAAACTTAGCTATCAGCCTCTGCTTGGCGACTCTGCGTTGTTGTGTATCCCAAAGTCCGCCTTGGAGGACATTTACCCAAAGATCCAAGGCCCAATATCTTTGACCGCTGAAGTGTTTCCCAACTGGGAGGAAATATTCCTGTCTGGTGATTGTTGTGCAGTGTCCATTCATCCGTTGTCATAGCGTCTGCATGGTTTCACCAATATACCGTACCTCAGGATCTTGGGTTCATGTCGCACTACAGGTAACCCCACCACACCATACACTCTCACACACACACACTCTCACACACACACACACTCTCACACACACACACACACACACTCTCTTTCTCTCTCTCTCTCTCACACACGCGCAGACACACTCTGTCTCAAGCACGCACACACTCTCTGTCTCATACACACACACACACGCGCGCACACACACACACCCCTGTGGGGTGCCTTTGCATTTGCGGATTTGTAATTGCAGGTACATTCTATTTTGTTCAAAAAGCACACAATTTGTAAACAGTCAATGTGGCGTTTTATGTATTCCTACTTTGGAAATAAAACCAGTTTGATTCCAAGTTAAAACACAGACAGATTCTAAACCAGGCCTCACACCTAAAATGCATTGTCTGACCTGAGATGTTACCTCTGCTATACTGATAAAAACCTTTAGTGATGTCAGGGCAGTGACTTGAAAGAAATTCTGGGATTTGCATGTTAATCAATCAAAACCTGCATCTCCTTTCTAACTGATTAAAGATTTAACAGCCATCTTAGGTTTGTTCAATACGTTCCTGTCAGTTCCATGACCCTTTGATCTTTTGCTTATAAATTCTGTGTTTGATGCCAAATCTCTCTCTAACATCTGAAGAAGGAGCGAGACTCCAAAAGTATGTGGTTTCAAATAAACCTGTTGGATTACAACCTGGTGTTGTGTGATTCTTGACCTTCTCCACCCCTGTCCAACACCAGCACCTCCACAACATGCTAATCTCATTTGTGGAATCTTATCAAACACCTTCCGAAAGTCCACAGAAACAACATCCACTGGTTCTACCTATCAACTCTATCAGTTACATCGTCGAAAAATCCCAGTAGATTTGTCAAGCAGGATTTCCCTTTCATAAATCCATGCTGACTGTCCGATCTTGTCACTGTCTTCTGAAAGTTCTGTTATTGAATCTTTTATGGTGGACTTTAGCACTTTACTTACTACCAAAGTTAGGCAAATCTGTAATTCCTTGTTACCTTTCTATCTCCTGTTTTTAAATAGAAGGGTTACATTAACTATCCTCCAATCAATAGCAAATGTTCCAGAGTCTATAGAATCTTGAAAGTTGACCACCTGGGGTCACTTCCTTAAGTACTCTGGGGTGTAGATTATCAGTTCTTGAGTACTTTGGTGGCCTTTAATCCCACCAATTTCCCCCAACACCATTTTCCCACGAATACTGATTTCCTTCAGTTCCTTTCTCTCACTAGAGCATGTGTTGCAATTTTTGGAATGTTATTTGTATCCTACTTTGGGAAGACTGAACCAAAATATGTATTTAATATGTATATAAAATATGGTCTGTTGTCTCTTTGTTTCCCATTATAAGTTCCCTTACTTCTGAATGTAAGCGATGTCCATTTGACTTCACTAATCTTTTCTGTACACATTCCTATAGATACTTTCACAGTCAATTTGTATGTTCCCACAAGCTTACTCTTGTACTCTGTTTTTCCTCTTAATCAATCCCTTTGTCCTCCTTTGTCAAAATCTAAACTGCTCCCAATTCTCATGATTACTGCTCTTTTTGGCTAACTTGTATAATCCCTTTCCCTATCTGTCTAATACCATCCTTCATTTCCCTTGTTAGACATGGCTGGGCCACCTTTCCTATCTTATATTTGTGCCTGATAGGAATGAACAATTGTTGCAGTTCACGCATCCTTTAAATGTTTGCCTTTGCCTATCCACACTCATCCCTTTAAGTAACATTCCCCAATTTAGCCAGTTTGCACCTCATACCATCGTAATTTTCTCTATTTAGGTTCAGGACCTGTCTCAGAATCAACGCTATCGTTCTCCACCTTAATGAAGAGTTGTATTATATCATGGTTACTTAAAGTATTGGCAAAGATCTGTAGCTCAGGTTGTGGATGAGGTTGTTGACTTGCTCGCCGAGCTGGTTTGTTTTTGTTCAGATGTTTCGTCACCATGCTAGGTGACGTCATCAATGGAGCCTCCGATGAAGAGATGTTTACATTACATTGGACAGACAGGAAGGAAACTAACCATCAGAATACATAAACATCAGCTAGCAGCAAAATGGCACGATGAACTCTCCTTAATATCTGTACATTCAGATGATGAAGGCCATCAGTTTAACTGGGACAAAGTAACCATAGTAGCCCAAGCCAAACATAGACATGCACGGGAATTCCTAGACCAATTCTCCACCAATTCTTCAATCAACAAACATATTGGACTCCATATATAAACCCATACAGATCAAAACTGGAAATGACAGTACTCACCATAATGGACCGGATAGTATAAATTCCAAGCAGAGTAGAATAACATTGCTTCATCAGAGGCTCCACTGATTATGTCACCTAGCGTGGTGACAAAATGTCTGAACAAAAACATGCCAGCTTGGCGAGCAAGTCAACCTCATCAAGGTTACTCTTCCACAAGGGGCGTCCCACAGCCAGATTACCAATTATTCCTTTCTCATTACACTACACCCAGTCTAGGATAGCCTGTTCACTTGTTGGTTCCTCAATGTATTGATCCAGAAAACCATGTCTTAATACTCCAGGAATTCCTCCTCTACAGTATTGTTACTGAATTGATTTGCCCAATCTATATGCAGTATTAAAGTCACCTCATAATTATCAGCCTTACAGAGATTGAAGCCATGACCTTGGCATTATTAGTACCACACTGTAACCAATAATTTATCAGTAGAGATGGTATTCAGCCCTTTTAATTGATATGATTTGGTCAGCTTTAAGTCTACAGTGCTCTAAATGACTCATCTGTGTAATTGAGGAGCTTTCAAATTGAAGATTCCACTTAAGATGTAAAGTGGTAAAGTTGGACATTTAATTAAATAAGTGGCATTGTAATCTATCTCTTGTATTGCAGAGACCATGGGATGCTCAGCATATTCTAGTGTTATTTTCAGCTTATTGTGGACTGCTGGTTGCTTGTTCCTATCACCTCAGCAGACAAAGCAGTGAACCAGCAGCATTGATGTAAGCCATTTTGTTAAGAATGTTAACAATTGTTATTCATTGAGAGGTAATAAGAGATTCAGGCACCTGCCTGTTCTGACGAAACTTTGGTTTCATATCAGATTGATTCACCAAGTTAAGTTACTAATGGATGCATCAGTGAAAATAGAAGGATGCAGGAGTAATTGTGTCATGAAGAAAGATAATTGTAAAAACAGAAAATGCTGGAAATTCTCAGCTGGTCTGGTAGCATCTGTGGAACGAGAAACAGATTTAATGTTTTAGGTTGATAACCTGCCAACATAAACAAAAAGTCGTGGAAATCTGGAATATACTCTCCTTTTCCAAAAGGCTATGAATGCTGTGAGTCAGTTGGAGCTTTCATGACTTTTTTTGTTAGGTATCAAGAAATTGGAACATAGCTGGTTAAATGATTATACAAAAGCCTCAATTAATCAATTCAATGATTCTGTCTAATCAATTATGTAAATAAGTTTGCATATCAATGCTGCTATGTGATTGGTATTGTTATTTTGCTACAGGTCCCTAATTCGCTGTAAGTTGTTCAATGAGTTGGATGTCCAGAATCCAGAGCATCTGCTGTCAGGAAACAAAGATGTTCTTCCTGAAAAACTGACGAATTCTGTGGTATATGTTCCTTCCCACAGTCAATAATCAATATGATGATTTGACAACAGTGCTGTTTTGATGCATTAAGATAATGTATATTTTATTTACGTTGCAGAGTTGAATCTTCTCACTCATTTTCACAAGACTGCTGCAGTTTTATTTCAGAATCCAAAACAGAATGATACAGGGCATCAAAGAGCTAAATTGTAAGCAATTGAATTGACTTGGCTTCTAATCACTTAGGCAGTGACTTAATTGAAGTATTTAAAGCGAGAGAAGGATTCTTTAAAGACCAGATAGGGATAAACTATTTCCTCTGGCAGTGAAATCTAGAACAAGAGGCTATAACTTTAAAATGAGATCTAGGCTATTTGGAGTGATGCCTTACACAGAAAGAGTATGGGGAAATCTGCAATCTCTCCAACAAAGGAATAAAGCTAATTCAGATCTAGTATTGTATAATGAGGTATGTTTAATTACTAATCTCCTCATAAAAGATCTACTGGGGAAAATGATCATGATATAATTGAATTCGATATTAAGGTTGAAAGTGATGTGCTTCAGTTCTAAACAAGAACTTTAAACATAATAAAGTCAATGACATAGGTCTGAGGGAAAAGCTGTCTAAAATTGATTTGGTAAATGGACTACCAGGTGTGGTTGTAAATAAATAATGAAAAATATTATAGAAAACATTCAAAATGTTTATCAAGAATATGGTCTGTTAATCAAAATCTCAGAAAGAAAGAATAAACTATGGCTTAATAGGGGATAGTATTAGATTAAAAGAGACGGCTGATGGAATATAGTCAGTCCTGCTATAGAAATTCGTGCTATAGAAATAACGGAGTCTATGGGAAAAGGGGCAGACCACCAAAAAAATCACTCAAAATTGCTTAAAAATCACTCAAAAGCCTACCACAAAGGATAGCACAGTTTGAATAAATGTTTAATTCATATCCAGTAATGAAATAAAAGTAAATTTAACACCTTACCTTGAAAAAATATCAAGATGACTTGATGGGGGTGAAGGTTTTGAGGTTGCTCTGTTGTTAATGCAGGGGGTGAGGGTCATCGTCATCATCATCATCATCACCTTCAGGTGCAGTTGTGGTTGCAGGGTTAGGGTGAAAAATAGTAAATCCAGAAATGGATGGCCGTGGTTCATTGTCTTCTGACTGTTTCTTGGGATTGGCTTAAAAAAGACATCCAGTTTTTGCTGCTTTGCCCTTTTTCTTCTTTCATGAAGAAGCTGTTCATATGGTGCCAAATAAGATCTTATTCCATGAACTGCTACCCTGCTACATTCTGCATTGTAATCGTTGTCCTTTAAGAGCTGCAACTGCTTCTCAATTTCCCTCAGGATAGAAGACAAAATAGAAGTGGAAAGCGCTCATGGTGCTGCATCCTGGACTACTTCATCTTCATCTTCAGCTTCCACTTCCCCCTCAGTGACAAGTTGTTGTATATCAACTGTAGAGAGGTCTTCACAGTGGGACTCAAGCAGCTCTTCAACATCCTCACTCTCTACTTCTTCAACTCCAACTTGCTTTGCAAGATCAACACAATGTTCTTTGATACTTGGAAGCTCCTCTGACGGATCAAAGCTTTTAAAATCTTGAAAGAAATCTGGGAAAAGCTTCCACCAAACTGCATGCAAGCAGTCCTTACTGACATCACCTCAGGCCTACACAATAATGTCAATTGCATTCTTGATGTTAAAGCTCTTCCAAACTTGAAGAACACTGTCCTTGTCCCCCTCAGTGGCTGCAATCAGCCTCTTAAATGTGCATCTTAAATAATAAGCTTTAAAAGCTGCTAGTGCACCCTGGTCTATGGGTGGAAGGAGAGAGGTTGTGTTTGGGGGTAGATATAGCACTTTGATGTTTTCAGAAAGCTCATTAATAGTGGGAGGATGGCTTGGCGCACTATCCAGGATGACGAGAATCCTGAAATCCAATGTTTTTTTTCCCTGCAATACTTTCTAAAAACGTTTTCCAAAACATCAGCAATAAGGTCAGAAAAAATTGCCCCGTCATCCAACCTCTTTTGCTTGACCTAAAGTAGATGCCTAGAGTAGACTTAAGGTAACCTTTCAAGGCTCGCAGATTGGCAGAGTGGTACACCACCACAAGCTTAAGCTTTAAGTCTCCACTGGCATTGACACTCAGCAGCACAGTTATATGATCCCAGGCCGCCTCAAAGCCTGGAGCATGTGCTTCATTCATAGAAATGTAGGTTCTTGATGGCATTCGCTTCCAGTATAAGCCTGTCTTATCCAAATTGAAAATTTGATCTAAGTTGTAGCCTACTTCGTCAAATTTTTTTATGATGGGAGGAAATGCCATCACATGCTCCTTGTCTACACTGGCAGCTTCACCACGTAACTTTACGTTATGAGAAGCATAGTGGTTCTTAAAACCAGCAAACCAGCCACTGCTAGCACTAAAGGCAGATGCATCTGCAGGATTTTCAGCTTTTTTTGTTAGATCTTCATAGATTGATAAGGCTTTCTCTGTTATGGTGAGAAGGGTGTCCTAGATTGCTTTTTCATTTGATCTTCTCTCCACACACTTAGAACCTGCTCCACCTCTTCAAGTTCTTTTGTCCATGACCTCTCAGACTTGCTAGCACACAGACTTGTTCCATCAATACAGCTTCCTTTCATCTTTTCTGCATTGTTTCTAATGGTGCGTAAGGTAGATTCCTTTGGCAGCATCTGTGCAGAACAAAATCAGAGTTAACATTTCAGGTCTGGTGACCCTTCCTCAGAACAGGGAAGGGTCATCAGACCCAAAATGTTAACTCTGATTTTTTCTTCACAGATGCTGCCAGACCTGCGGAGCTTTTCTAGCGACTTCTGTTTTTGTTCCTGATTTGCAGCATCCACAGTTCTTTCGGTTTTCTTCTTATTCCTATTATGTGAACTATATCACATGATCTCTCATTATGCTCAAAACGCTTTATAACAGCTAGCTTCTCTTCCAGTGTTATAGCCTTTCTTTTACGTTCACCATGTGCAATTTTATCACCATGATGCTTCTTGCTAACATTCTTGTCACTTTGTCCTCACATTTTTGTGGGTAACATGGCAGAATTTGCCAAAAAAAACCCCAAACATCACAGAGTACTGCACCTCTCACAGAAAGCACTTCATATCAAAGTCTTCGAAATGATCACGTGATGCCGGCGTGTATTCCTCTGTGGACGGAATCACGTTATTGCCAACACAAGTTCACGTTTTAGAAATAGTGTCCCCATTCGTCAGTCGTGTTATAGCCAATTCACGTTGCCGGAACATGCATTATAGCAGAACCGACTGTAATACTAACCCTGAGGACTGTGACTGTTTTAGCAACCAGCAAATAATCAAAGAGTTCATATAAAAGGGGAATGCAAGATTAAGCTAGCTGGGAATTTAAAAAAAAACTTTAAAACTGAGTTAGAGGCAACGAAGGAAAAATTATCCTGAGGAAATGGCAGACACTTTGAATAAATATTTTGTGTTTGTCTTGATAGTAGAAGACACAAATTACATACCATTTAACAGAGGGGAACCAAGGGGTCAATAGAGTGAGATGCTGAATGTAATTAAGATTAGCAGGGAAATATTCTGTAGAAATTTAAGGGAAGGGCTGTAGTACTACAGTAATTGTGTCCCTACCTCTGGACCAGGAGACCTAGATTCAAGTCACACCTGCTCCGGAGGTGTGCTAACATCTCTGATTAGGTTGATCAGAAGATGGGTGGCGTGGTGGCTCAGTGGTTAGCACTACTGCCTCACAGCGCTAGAGACTGGGTTCGATTCCACCCTCAGGTAACTGTGGGTAGTTTGTACATTCTCCTCGTGAATGCATGGGTTTCTTCCAGGTGCTCTGGTTTCTTCCCACAGTCCAAAAATATGAAGATTAGGTGGATTAGCCATGCTAAATTGTCCATAGTGTCCAGGAATATGCAGGCTAGGTGGATTAGCCATCGGAAATGTACAGCTATAGGGACTGTGTAGGGGGATATGTCTGGGTGGGGTGCTGTTCGGAGGGCTGGTGTGGACTCAATTGGCTGAATGGCCTGCTTCCATACTGTAGGGATTCTATAATAAAAGAAAACTTAAGGGACTACAAGCCAAGAAGTTCTTAAGGCCTAGGATTCCAAAACAGGTAGCTATGGATGTATTGGTTATAATTTTCTAAAATTACCTGCATCCTGGAACAGTCCCATCAGTTTCAAATTTAGTGAATGTAACAGGGCTGTTTAAGTGGGGAGAAAGCAAAGTAGCCAGTTAGCCTGAAAATGCTGAAATCTATTATTAAGGAAGTCTTAAAAATACCCATAAAAAAGCACAAAGTCAACATAGGAAAATGAAGTTATTAAAAAATTATTACTTTTTTTGAGGATGTAACTCAGCTGTAGTAGGCATTCAATGAGGTAACACACAAAATATTAAGAAGCAAAATAAAGTCTTATGGAATTGGAGTAAAATATATTAGCATAAATAAAAGACTGGCTAATAAACATGAACTAGAGAGGAGGGATGAAAAGCAATTTTCAAGCTGACAGGCTGTAGATAGTGGAATGCTGTAAGGCTAAGTGCTGGAGCTTCAGCTGTTTGCCAACTATATTAGTGATGAAAACAAAGAGAATATGAGACGTCTAAACGTTGATGCTCAGAGAGAGTTCGATAAAATCATACAAAGAACACACAGTTAGCATGCAGATACAGCAGGCAATTAGAAAGACAAATACCATGTAGGTCTTTGCAAGGAATTGGATTACAAAAATAAAGAAGTCTTACAGTTTTGCCAGGCTTTGGTGCGACCACTTTGTGCAGTTCTGGTCTCTATATTTAAGGAAGGATATATCTTGCCCTAATGGTGTATAATAAAGGTTTACTTGGTTGGTTCCTGTGATGAGACACTGTATAAACTGGGTTACTACTGAAACATTTAGAGGAATACGAGTTGATCTAATTGAAACATTTAAGATTTTGAAGGAGCTTGATAGAATAGATACAGAGAAATGGCTGAAGAATCTGGAACCAATGGTCTCAGTATTAGGATAAGTGCTGATCATTTACAATTAAAATTAGAAAAGTCTTCCTTTGGAGCATTGTCCTTAGAATTAGCTGCCTCGAGGTTATGATGCCCAATCATTGAGAATATTTAAGACTGATGTAGGTGGAATCTTTAGTCTCTCAATAATTGGAAGAAAATGGAGAGCAGACAGGAAAATGGGCTGAAAAAGAAGATCAGCCATAATATTATTGAATGGTGGTGCAGGCTTGTGGACTCATATGATTTACTCCTGATCTCACTTCCTTTATTCTAATTTTATTTTCATGGATATGGGCTTTGCTGCCTAGGCAGCATTGATTGTACATCTCTAGTTGCCTTTGAGAAGGTAGTACTAAGCTGCTACAGGTTCTTGAACTGTAGCAGTCCATTTCGTGTAATTTCACCCAAATGGTGTTAGGGATAGAGTTCCAGTCTTTTTTGATGCAGCGACATTGACATTCAAAATCAAGACAGTAAGTGGCTTGAAGAAGAACTTGCAGCTAGTGATGTTCTCATGTATTTTCTGCCGTTGTCCTTCTAAATGGTAGTGGTTATGGGTTTGGAAGATGCTGTGTGAGGAGTCTTGGTGAAATAGTTTGAATAGGTTTAAAAAATAATATTTGGAAATGTTTTAATTGCCCATTTAATTAATGGCAATGTGTGTTTGTGTCTTTGCAGAGAGAAGTCTTGAAGTCCGACCTTGTTATGTGTGCAGTAATTACCCTTCTAACTTTTGCAATCAGTGCAACTACTGTTTTCCTTTCATTAAAGGTACTGTACTTCTATTGATCATTGTTTGCTCATGTTAGCATTTCAGCTTTATTGACAAATGTCTTACAGCTTAATATTTTTAAAAGTATAAGCTTTAGTTGAATTCTGTTGAAGTCAGCACTTGAACAAGTGCTTTTACACAACGTGGACATATCTGAGCCATTTTGGTTCAAAGTACCTGGGGTGAAAATAATACTTGCGAATTTGGAGGCCCTGCAAAATGGCATAGAATGAAGGAAAATTCTTAAATTGACTTTGACATTTTATAACATTTATCAAAGGACTTCTGTATTCAGTAGCATAACTTTGAGACTTGCTCATACAAGATTAAGCAGTTAAATATTAATCAAAATGTTCCTGAACATTTAACTTGAGAATTGACAGCAGGCATTGAATTAAATATTTTAAAAAACCCATTTGAGCTGAATGATTAGACTGCTGAGAACCTGGTGCCCTTTTCCCAGCTTCCCAAAGTTAAAATGTGACCGGTTCTATTGACATAAAGTGTCACCTCAAGTGTCTTAAATTAACCAGCTACTCTTAATCCATTTCTTACAGATGAGAGTTACGGCACAAAGCTTGATGTGACTAGCTAAGTTGTTCTTATGAACTGTCAGATGTTGAAAGCTGAATGTTGGTAGAAGCTACTTTGAGAATGAATGAAGAAAGTGGATTTGTAGATTAGAGGGATTTTCACTTGGCAACCATACTAAGAGTTCTTCGTACTGCCTTCTGTGATGCAGCTAGCTCTTGTATCCTTATTATCACCTAGGATTTATTTTTTTAAAATTTGACATTCTAATGAATATAAAAGATTGAAGAAGCCAGATAGACAGAAACCATTTCTTCTAATTGGAGTGCACAGAAAATTACAGCTAGGCTTGTGATGCCAGGAAACATTTCTTCACACAAAGAACAGTGGAAATTTGGAACTCTTCTGCGTTCCTAAGAAAAGCCAATGAACTTGAACTATTAACTGTTTTTCTGGCTCTATAGACATTGCCATCCCTGCTCAGTTTCTGCAGCACTTCCTGTTTTTATTTCAGTTCTCCAGCAATCATAGTGTTTTGCTTCTAATTGAGAGACACTTTTTTCATTCATTCAGCAGTTGGGCCAGCAGTTATTGTTCACTTCCAATTGCCCTTGAGAAGGTGGTAGTGAGTTTTCTTCTTGAACTGTTGCAATCCATTTGATGTAGGTACAGTGATTAAAGATTATGGAGCCAAGACGGGGTAAATTTTTATTTAAATAAAAATGTTTGGACATGTTATGACTCACCTCCTTAGCAGGTGGGATTTGAACATTGACCCTCTGGCCCGAGGTAGGGACACAGCCACTGTGCTGCATGATCCCCGAATGGATGGATGGGGAGGGTTACAGATTGGCCTGATCTAATTGAATGGTGGAATATACTTGAATGGCTGAATGGCTTCTTCCTGTTCTTGTGTTCTGAAAGACAGTAAATCAATATTATTAAAAGCAGACAAGTTTTATATCCGTTAACTCTTAATGGCTGATGGGAACAATTTGTGTTTTGTGACTTTTATCAAAAGCTGATTCTCCCTTTTGGCTGGAAGCAGCATTGGTTGACCATTTATTGTATGAGAAAAGGAAGACTTTTATTTGACTCTCAAACATATCAACTATTTCTTAATATAACCTCTAATGTTAATTTTGGTTTAGTTTTCATTTTTTTGGAGTGACTTTTAGTTTGTTCAGAAACACTAACCATTTTCTGAGAACTGATCACTGGTAACCTGGTCATAAGACTTTGCTTTGGAGTTGTCGCACAAGTGACTTACCCTCCAATTTCTGCTTTCGGCCTGTAGTGAAATTTTGGATTTTGGCAGAACTTCATATGGTTGTTGCTTTGAGCTTAGAACTTAAACTTTGAAAGGGAATAACTAGAAAGGGCACAAGTCCCTCTCCTTGCTGCTGTTGTCTTGTGACCCAGTGATATTGCAACAGCATTCATGCTGCCAACTCTATTTGGACATGAAGTCATACGGTACAGAAATAGACCCTTCACTCCACATCTACGATGACCAGACATTCCAATCTGAACTGGTCCTGTTTGCCAGCATTTGGCCCATATCCCTCCTTTACCTATCCAGATGCCTTTTAAATGTTGTAATTGTAGCTGCCTCCACCACTTCCTCTGGCAAATTGTTCTATACACGCACCACCCTCTGCGTGAAAATGTTATCCCTCAGGTCCTTTATAAACTTTACCCTCTCATCTTAAACCTATGCCCTCTAGTTTTGGACTCCCCCACCCTGGGAAAAAGACCTTGGTTATTCACGCTATCCATGCCCCTCATGATTTTGAACACCTCTATTAGGTTTCAGCCTCCGACACTCCAGGGAGAAAAACCCCAGCCTATTCAGCCTCTCCTTATAACACAAACCCTCCAGTCTGGGCAACATCCTTGTAAATCTTTTCTGCACACTCTCAAGTTTAACAACATCTTTCCTATAGCAGGGCAAGCAGACATATTCCAGGAGGTTTTAATATATTAACTTTCTAACCCTGCGCTCCTCCTGTTGATCAAACAAAACATTTCACTTGGGTTCTCCACAGCCAAGAACCTATCATTGGTCAACAAACATGTCCATCTTGTGGTGCTTCACCCCCACACTCCTGCCATTGGTCACTTACACATCCATGTTTTGGTGCTCAATGCTGCACCTTCCCCCCCCCCCTCCCCCTGCCGCCTCCAACCCAGTCCCCCACTATACTCCTGCCATTGCTTATCCAGTGTATCAATCCTCATAATTCTTGCCTTCACACAAAAAACTGAAATGCAAACAGGCTGCCCTTTATCCAACTGAATGAGTCATGGCTGTCAATCAATTCATCATTTGTGTTCGAAGATGAAAAGTCAGGCATTTTGTTTCAAACAATTAATCTTTCATGTTGGGTTGCTCTCAGAAATAGCAGAAGCTTACCTTTCCCCTGAGATTCCAGGAAAGAAAATTTTGATTAGCCATAATTGTAGCTATTGTGACAACATTTCAGCCAGTTTCACTCATTTTGGAAGAAGACATCTTAACAAATAAGAAACGTACTCTGCACCTACATTTATGTTTAAACACCTACCACTTTTCTATAACAAGCAAATAAAGCACAAGCAAAGAAATGTTTGTAATCTGCTTTCCATCTTATCATTTTACCAACAAACACAGAGGTGAAATTTCACATTTATGTCAAATACAATCGTGCGTATTGAAATTATATTCCCAATGACATTGACTATGTATTAATTAGTCAGAAATCCAATTAGCAGCAACTGCATGTCAGTTATACTCATTAATTAGTGGTTATTGTATTGGACAATGCAGTGCAATGGAACAACAATAGCTTACATTTATATGACATCTTTGATGTAGTTAAATATCCATAGAGACATCACAGGTGCATTATTGAATTATTTTGACCCCAAGCCACATAATGAGATAACGAGATAGCTGACCAAATATTCAGTTAAAGTTTTTGTTTTCAAAGGAATCCTTTAAATGTGGGTAGAAGAGCAATGAGGTAAAGATATTTAGAAAAATAATTGCAGAGTTTGGGGCCTATCGAACAGAAAGCACCACTACCAGTGGACCATGAAGGGATTTGAGCAAGAAACTTACAGCACAGAATAAGGCCATGTGACACAATGTACCTGTGGTTGCTGTTTCAGTCATTTTATATAAATTGCTAACAATAACAGACCAAAAATTGACCTTTGTGGGAAACCATTGCTAGTCACACCCAACTTGGAAAATAGCCATCACCACAAAGCACTCTAGTTTCTGTTACTAAGCCCATTTGGCATTGTAGTGACACTTTCCTCTTAAGCCTGCCTTTTGTCTGTACACCTGTAATTTCCTCATTCGAAATGTCATTCCAATTCCGATTTTAAATTATTTTTGGATTTACCGCATAAACCAGTTTCCATCCTTCCATTCTGGACCCTTACCCAATCCAGATAACATCTTCCCACTGTGGAAGAACCTGGCTCTTAATATTTTCTAATCAACCTGTTTGGAGATGTTATTATACACCTCTGATTCATAGGTAAAGATACTACTATGCACCACAAGAGCCCAAAGAACCCAGCTCTTTTTTGCTATATCCAGAAATGTTCTTACACACAAATGAACATTCTTTCCCATCACCAAACCATGTGGTATTTTTTCCATCTATAAGAACCCAGTTTCTTTATTAATCAACCTGCTTGCAGATGTTATGGCACACCTCTGGAGGTGGTGGGACTGGAACCCGAGCCTCCTGGCTCAGAGGTCAGGTCACTACCACTGCACCACAAGAACCTTAGAAACCTGCAATCAACCTGTTCAGAGATGTCATGCTACACCTGTAGAGCAGTATGCCTTGAACCCGCATCTCCTAGCCCACAGGTAAAGAACGCTATCACTGCAGTACAAAAGCCCTAGAACCCAGCTTATAAATACAAAGTCCAATTAACATCATATGCTCTCAAGCAACTCTGGTTCCATTTTAGTTTACCCTTCTAACACTGACAGATTTCTTGTAAGAATAAAAAATTGTATTTATACAAGGGTGTTCAGATACAAAAAAAAGATAATTTCAGATTTCCGACTGTTAAATAGCAAGACATCCCTCTTCTAGAACCTCCAATAATTTTTCTTTGGTATTATTCCTCTCAGTGAAACAATCCAACAGTTGATGACGAATATTCACCCACCTAAGTTTAGAGATTTCTTTCCTCTCTAGCATCTGCTTTAAACTGGTGATATCCATCCTAAGCCTTTTCTCAGTTAACACTTCTTGTAGAATGTATGTTATTTCACAGATTGATTACTGAAGTAACATTCTATTAATATTTTCATTTCAGTACCTTTCATATAAAGCATTCCCTCCTAGACTTGACATGTAGAATGCTATGTCACTGCATCAGCAAGAGTCAAAGCTCGATGGTTAATGTGCTCTTTACCACCTTTAAATTTCTTTGCCTCTAAACTAAGTTGTAACTT